TTGAGTTTAATTTGTATTTTTCAAGTAAATTAGTGAAATATATTTTTTTTGAATTTTTCCTTAGGCGTTCAAGTAATCTTACGTAATTTTTATGAATAGTTTTCCTCTCAGTTGTTTTTGATTTTAAATATTTAATATAAAGTTTTTGCTTAAATTTTGAAGATTTTAGAATACCTTTAGTAATCCATGGCGATACAATTTTTTTATATTTGTAATTTACTTCTACTTTGGGAAAATTGATGTCATAAATTTCATAAAAAATTTTAACAAAGGATTTGTATATTAAATTAATGTTTTCAGAATAGTTTATATTGTCCCAATTATTTAACGATAGTTGATATTTAAAAGATGCTTGGTTTTTATTATGAAAAATTCGTTTTATAATGATTTTCTTTCATAACATATAATTTTCGCATAAATATCAATTGAAAAAAATATAGGGAAGTGATCATATATATCACTTTTAATAATGCCTTTTTTAAGCAAATTATAACAAATATCGTTGGTTATAATGTTATCAATTAAGGAAGTTGTTGTTTGAGTAATTCTAGTTGGTTTGTTTATTAGAGGAACTGCTCCGTTTTCAAATAGGCCATTATAAAACCCATTAATGTCTTTTTTGACATGATACTCAAAGCAATTTAAATTCATATCACCTAATATGTAAAGTAATTTTTTTTTATAGTTGCTTTTATTTATAACATCATCTTGTAAAAATGTACAAAAAGTTTTAATTTCGCCTGTAGGTGGGCGATAACAACAGCTTATCACAATGTTTTTAGTTTTATTGTTTAATATTTCAATTGTTAAAACCTCTTTATTGACATCAGAAATACTCATGTCATGCCTAATATAATACTGAAGGTTTTCTTTTACGTAAATAATTAAACCACCGCCGCGTTTATTTGTTTTCCGTCCTAATGAAATCAAATTATAGCCCGGTATTTTAAATTTATTATCTAAACTTGAGTCATTAGAACCACACCAAGTTTCAGTTATGCATATTACACTAAAAAGAGTTAAGTTTTCTTTAAAACTATTGCAAAGATTTTCAAAATTTTTTTTTAAACTTCTTATATTTATATGAACTGCATTAAATTTATCATGCTCAAGAAATTCTTTTATTTCATAACTATAGAAACAGCTGCAGTTGCTTTGTAAAGCACCTATTTCGCTAAAAAAACTTTGATCCGGATCGGACTCTTTGTTGTGTATAAAATCATTGAATTGAAAAATTCAAAATTCTTTTAGTGATTTGAATCCATTTTAGTATTTAAAAACAATAAAAAATTTAAAATAAAATAATAACTTTTATATAAAAGAATTTCTTAATTGTCGCGCGTTACAAGTTTATTATATACAACTAGCATATTTACTTTTGGCTCTTAGATCTTTTGCTTCTTTAAATAACTGTTTTCGCAATTCCAAAGTTCTTTCGCTGTAGTCTTCGTTTACGTAAAGCCGATCGTTCCACAATTTTAACTGAACATAGTTATCCAATGCAGTTTTTTTGTCTTTGTAATTTAAAAATTTTACTATTATGGTTCTGTTATACTTTTTTCCATCGCTTTTTTTTTTCCCCGTCCTGTGCGCACGTTCAATTTCAACATTACCTTTAAAACCAACTTTTGACTCTAAAACATTTTGAATCTTTTCTTCGCTTAATTCCCACGTTTCAATTTCGTCTTCCTCAATTCCTGTAAACCTTAGATTATTTCTTCTGCTTCCAACTTCTCCTTAGATTACTTCTTCGTCTTCCAACTCAGCAAGTTGGTCTTTGACAACAACGTTTGTTATATCTTTCTGGCTTGATGTTGAGTTAGGCTTTCTTTTTATTTCAGAAAGTTCTTGAATAATTGATTTATATTTCTCTAAGAAACTCTGCCGATTTCCTTAATTCACTAGTTTCTTTTTTAGTTTTGATTTTTCTTCTTGAAGATTTAATAGTTTGATTTCCATTTTATCAAACTTCTCGTTAAATATTTTCAATAAAGTATTCTCATAAATATCTAACAGATCTTTCCCAGTGGGCACAGGACGTAAAAAAGACGTCCTTAGGACGTTCAAATCGCGTCCGTCCGTCCCATTAAAACTTTAAACTTCTTTTGAACGTCTTTTTCGCGTCCAAAAAATATCCAGAATGCTTTATTAAATAAAAAAAAATCAGTTAAATCACGCAAGCGCTAAAACTTTTTAAAATTTTTAAGTAACGCATTTTTAATAAAGTTTTTTTTCAATTACAAAAGAAGTCTTTTTACAACAACTAATAGACACGTTCCATCTAATTTTTGTTTTTGTTATCAATTACTTGAAAATTGTGGTAATATTGATACAGGTAATGAAATTTTTACAGATAATGAATGAAACGGTGTAAAACTGAATATATGCTATACTATGTATATACATAGTATAAAATATATATATAAATAAGCAAGAACTTGTCTATAAGTCGCTTTTCATAAGGTGTTTTTAAAATTCTCCTTGCAATACTATACTAATAGTATATCAAGTATATATATACATAATGTATATATATACTTGATATACTATTAGTATAGTATTGCAATATCAAGAACCAAGTTCTAACAATTTCAAAGATTTAGACATCTCATGCAGAATCGAATTTTTCAATAGGAAAACCTGTTAATGATACATGGAACAATTATCCTGATAATTCTTTGAATTCAATGTAGGAATGCGCGTATCTTTCGATTTACGGCACCGATCTTGTAATGAAAAACTTCGACCATTTTAGTGAAGCGTACAAGGCGTATGTGTTGTAAGAATGTATTTTCTTGTGTTTTTTTATAGAACTTCATATCAACATATATATTTTTTGAAAAGTAGAATAGTTAAACATTATTTTAGTGCTGTTCTTTTTTGTAATTACCACCGCTATCGTTAAATTTATGGTTCTTAAAAACTTTGTTTTTGATCAGATGTATAATTCATATTAAAGGAATGTTGATAACTTTTTTAAATCTATTGGGCCCAGTGAATAAACATATTTTCTTAGTGCATGCCAAATTTTATTAGAAAATATTATGTAGCAGACACCTAATTTTTTGTAGCAAAATAGGTACTTATTTGCTGTAAGAATGTGTTATTTTGTAGAGTTTTAAACCAAATTATATATTTAAAAAAAAGTTGAAAAGTAAGGCCTTACTTTTGTGGTGCTTTTTTCAGTAGTTACAACCGCTATCATTAAGTTAACTGTTTATGAAAAAATTCGTTGTTGGTCAGATGTAAAATTTATATAAAAAAAATGTTGATAACTTTTTTAAATCTATTTTTTCCTGTGCAGAAACCTTTTTTCTAAGTGCATGCCAAATTTCATTGAAAAATATTATGTAGCAGACACCTTATTATTTGTTGCAGCACAGGTACCTAAGTTTAACTTTTTCCGGAGAATAAAGGTAGGTAGGGGGGGGGGGCTAGCAACGATCTTTTTAAAAGATCGTTGTTAACCCCCTCCCCCTAAATGTATATTTATTTAATAATATATAATAACAGTAATAGTATATATATATATATATATATATATATATATATATATATATATATATATATATATATATATATATATATATATATATATATATATATATATATATATGTACATATATATATATATATATATATATATATATATATATATATATATATATATATATATATATATATATATATATATATATATATATATATATATATATATATATATATGTATATATATATATATATATATATATATATATATATATATATATATATATGATATATATATATATATATATATATATATATATATATATATATATATATATATATATATATATATATATATATATATATATATATATATATATATATATATATATATATATTTATATTTATATATATATATATATTTATAAGTTTATAGTAGGTTTAAAAACGATATATAATGATAAGAATTATATAGTAATATTTTATAGTTATTCTTATTACTTATTACAAAATAATTTTTAAACTAAATATAAAAAAATTTATCATGATAAAAAGTATATGCAACTTGGTTATGAAAAATGAGTGAGATATCACTCACATAATCATAGACTATCATAATACAATATCATCAGTATCATAACATAATTGATACATTATAGATGATAAATCACCAGATGATAACCATATGGTTATAAAGCTTATAATTGTTATCATAATAAATTATTTTAAGTCATTGGTAAAGTTAACTCATGGTTGAACAAAATTGAAATTTATTGCATACAAATGATATCAATTAAATTTTTTTGCTTAAAAAAGAAGCAAGTAACTAATTTTCTCTGGATGTTCTTTTTTTCATTTAAGAAATAACTCAACGTGACATTATATGGTATTATGGGTCCCAAAAAGAATATGTGTGTGTTTCGTGGTGCAGCGAAAAACTATATAGAATCAAACTTTGCATTGTCTTTGCAAGTAGACAACAATTGTAAAAATGGGCATATTCTGTTTGTATTCGTTAGCAATAATGAATCACATCAATTAACTATTGAGCAGGTCAATAAACTTTATGGCTTCAATATTTGTTACAGTCATACTAAACTTCTTGTTAATGTATCAAAAAAATGGGCTTGCAATTTTTTAAGAGATTCAAAACATTTTGTTGACTTCTGCAACGAGCCTTTTATTTGTCAAGCAGCAACATTTCCAGCAACAGATTCATTTCAGTCAAGTCCAAGTTCAAGTAAAACTGTTTCGTATTTGTCAGTTGCCTCATCTCCTAAACATAAAAGTATTTTGTCTTCACCTAATAAAAAAAGTCCTTTGTTATCCAGGTTAAGAGCTGACCAGTTGACTCCAAGAAAAAAACTCCTCAAACATAGATTAAGTGTTTTTGCTACTGAAATTGCTACTGAAAAACGAAAGCATAGAGAGGATGTAAAGGCCAAGATTTAAACATCTCAATGAGACTATTGCTCGCAAAGAAAAGACAATTCGAAGTTTGCGGAATAAACTAAAAGTTCAACGTCTAAACTTACAGCTGAATAAGCTTCAAATTTCAAATTTTCGTTTGAAAAAAGAACTGCAATTCACCCAAACAAAGCTGTCTAATGAAGAAGTTATCTTGCGTCAACAACTTGCTGACAAGAATGTAGAGATTAATGTCCTGCAAAATGATATGCTTATTTTACAGGAAAAGATAGAGCAAATGCAGCAGAAAGTACAAAGCACCAGATGTAAAAAAGTCTACTCATCTGATATTAGGGCACTTATCTATGACATGCTAGCATGTCAAGTTCCTACACACAGTGTGCCCCAACTTCTTCATAAAGTAGGAGAACACTTTGGGTATAGATTTAGTGACATTCCACATCGCAAAACTGTGGAGCAGATGATGCGCGAGCTGGGTATTATTTCAGAACTCCAGGCTGCTGAGATAGCATTCTCAACAAAAAATTTGACTCTTGGTTTTGATGCCACAACCCAGGAGGGTGTTTATGTCAATGTTGTGCACTTAACAAATGAATCTTCGTGCATGGTTGTAGCCATTGACCAGCTTGCTGGTGGTACATCTTATGACTATATGAGTCATATTACAAAGTCTGTGGATAATCTTACTAAGTTGTATAGTGACTTTTACCGGAAACAATATACTGATGTACGAAGCACGATTATCAGCAACATAACAAACACAATGAGTGACAGAGTGGCAGTGAACCATGCAACTATAACAAAGTTAAACACTTTTTGGCAAAAATCTCTAAATGAACTGAACTGTCACCTTCACCCATTGGATACAAAAACTTCTGCTTGCAAGTCATCGCTTAAAGCTTTGGAAACTTCAAAAGGGAAACTTTTTGGTAGAGATTGTTTTGCAGCAAACATTGTTGTTCAGTTAAATAAACTCCGTTACAAGGATGGTAAAGGTAAATAAATATGATAAATTCTTATCATATTTTTACTATAATAATGTCATCTTAATATTTTAAATTTATTTTATTTCAAGTTGTTATTTTGAATTTAAATCTGAACTTAATAAATGTGTTTTGTTAACATACTTGCTTAAAATAAGTTTTTTGCATTGCACTTTTGGTTATAATTTTAATTTTAAAGGTGATCCAAAAGGCTTTGTCACCTTTTTGGACAAGCATGGTCTTCCTAGAGGACTTATACCACGCTATAGGGGAAATCGATTGCACATACTTTTTCATACATGTGGAACTTTAATACATCACTACCAGAAACTTCAGAGTTTTCTGTTTTCTGGAGTAGTGTTATGTGGAGGACTGAGAAATAGTCTTTTCCAAGACTTCACATCTGATACAGGTTAGATGTTATGATAGATTAATAATCAAAATGTTTGGTTCTTATTTTTTATATTTTATTTAATTTTAAGTATACGCGAGATGTGTGCCCTAGGTTTAATTGGAAAGTTAGTGACTGGTCCCTGGATGAAAAAATTCTATGTGGCGCCAGGACAAGGACTTGACTATTTGTCTGGCATCCAAGTGATCAAAAATGTTTGCAATGCACTTGTTGAAAGCAGCGCAGAAGCTCTTTCCCTTATTCACCGAAAAACAGATTTTTTTGGAGGTGATCTCAATGATCCAGTTTTTCAATCACTCATAGGCTTTTGCCCAAGGACTGATGAAATGAGAGATGCATTAGCCAGCTGTCTAAATGCTGTCATTAGTGTTATTAACCGTCAGTATGAGCGACAGTTTACTATGACTTTAACTGACCAACTCAAGTCCCAGACATTATCAGCACGTCCACATAATATTGACTGTGAAGAACTTGTGGGTATGTTTAGTGCTGCAAAGCAAAAAGCTCCTAATGCCACACTTTGTTATTTGTCTTCGAAAATTTGCGCATGCAAGAATAAGACAGCTGATTTTCTTTCTGAAAAACCTACTGATATACGAAATAAATTGATAGCCTGGTCTATTTCTTCAGCCGGTAAAAAGCGCTTAGCAAACATGCAATGCCATGAAGAAATGAAGGCAGAATTGATTAAACGCATGGCTAAAAAGATTCAAAATAAGGAGGAGAAAGAAAGAAGAAAAGTGGAAAAAATATTTAAAAAATGCGTACCTCTACAGGTAAAACAACTCTTCCCAGATCTAGAAAATAATGAAGCTGCAGATATTGAAGACATTCTCAATGGAGATGCTGTTGGAAGAAGTATATGCCACATGTGGTATGATGCTGACACTAAAAGCCAGGATATGTACTATGGCAGGCTTCTTAGCATTAAAAAAAAAAATAATGCTTTATATATAGTTTCTTATTGGAAACCAAATGAAAATGAGGATGATGATGCTGTTGAATATGATATGAGAAAATATCAATTATCTGCAGACATCATAAGCGGTGATTTGATGTTATCATAAGCAAATTATGGTAACAATCTTATGATAAGTATGATAATTTAATTATGATAAATTATGATAGTAATATTATGCTTTATGTGTTATTTAATACGGTATTGTGTGTTTTTTATTATGTGTTTATATATGTGTTAAGGTTATATTTTGTATATATTTTGTAAGTATTTATGTTTAATAAATGTGTAAATCACTGTATTATATAAAGGGTATTATGTGTTATAATGTTATGCTTTTATAGTTTAAAAGTATTTATTATGTTGTTTCCATGGTTTCAAAGTGGTGTGACTTGGCTTTGTTTACAGCAAGGGTGTTGTCCTTGCTAGCCAAGCGGTGTACTTTGAATATTGTGACTTGGCTTTGTTTATGGCAAGAGTGTTGTCCTTGCTAGCCAAGCGGTGTACTGTCATGAAACACATAATAAAGTCTGTTTGTAATCACAAAATGTGTACTTATTAGTATGTTATGCTGTTAGTAAATAAAAAAAGTTCTATAAAATCTGGATAACTCAATAACCCTTAATAACTTGAATTAATTTAGAAATTTCAATTGATCCAATTGTTTATGGAATATGCTTTCAATAATCCTAAACATTTTCTAATAAGCTAATTTCTTGGTCCCTTGGTGGTTTCAGTTATTGAGTGTTTACTGTAACGTTTTGTGCTATTTGTTAATCGTGTGATGTTATTGTTGTGATGTTTTGTGTTGATAGACGACTTGGCTTACCTTCACGTCGGTGTCTATCGTTAAAAATGATTATTGGATTGTTTCATTACTGAAACTGATTATATATAATCATTCACTAAAAGCCAAGGATTCAATTTTTATATTAAAATGTAAAGAATTATCTTTTTTTAATTATTTTTAGCGTTGCTTTTTTTAAAAAGAGTTCATAGTCCAAACTTGCAACAATAAATCTTGAAATTTTTCACAAAAATACGCACACAAAAAAATCTCTTAAAGTAAGTTTGTTATTTGTTATCACATTTTTGAGTTTTTATTTAAATTAACTGATTACGTATACATTCATGTGTAATAAGTGTTTTCAATAATTTTGTTACATTTTTAGGTTGAATTCCTTCTCTTATTGTTGATCGTTTTCTAAAAGCCAAAAGGAAGTTTTGTTAATTTTTATACCATTTACTAAAGGCTATACAATAAAAAAACAATTCCATTTGATTTTATAAAGTACTTCCGATACTTTTTAATGTTAAATATAATATTTAAAAAATTTTTTTTTTTTTTAACGTAAATTTTTTTTTTTATCTCAAGAAAAATGTGTTTTGCTTCTCACATAAATTTGTAAATTTTTTCTCATTGAAATTATAGTGTTGTATTACATACATTGTTCGTTTTGCTTTGTTTTTCTTTATATTTTCGTTATGTTTTTATATATGAATAGAGACCGTTTATACTTTTATTACCTTGGAAAATACGGATCGAGATTTTCGGTACAAATCATAGCTATATTAGTTTAATAATTTGCTAAAACTGGTGTTAAAAATAACTTGAAAGAATTAGTTGAGAATTTGTTGCAGAAAAGTTGCTTTAAGAAATGTCAAACAAATAGAGCTAACTTATTTGACATAACTAGGATCCGTGACCCGTTTCTATATCTTCCTTATGCTTTATAAGGAAAATGTGAGGCCTTTAAAATATTAATAAATTAAAAATTTTATTAATTTTACAGCCTCAAAAAATACTGGAAGAAATGTTAAGCAAATGTCATCTCTGTTAAAGAGACTTTAGTTATGTTAATATTTTTTCTCTTTTAAATTGTTACTTCGTACTGATATATTCTTTACAGAATAAAATTAAACTTTAAGATAAAATCAAACCAATAGAGCTAACTTATTTGCTATAACTAGGAACCGTGACCCGTTTTCTGTATCCTCTTATGTATTTTTAATAAATTTTAATGAGAGATAAAAAAAAATTCGTTAATGAATCTTTTTGCAATTGGACTAGTTCCACTATTATTTAAGGCCCTTCCAAAAAAATACACGTTTGTTTCTTTTTAAACGTGTTTTTTTATAAGAGTGTAATTAAAAATTTTTGTGAAACGGAGTAAAAATATAGACATTAAAATAGGGACAGAAAAAAACATCAGATAGTTCAGCGACTCGTTTTTTCCTATATTCTATAAATTTTATACTTGATAAGAAGAAGCGTTTTACTGTTAAATATTTTTGTCTTTAAAATGTACGCAATATTATTATAATCGTTTTTATATGGTGTTCGCAATATTTGTTATATATCTAAGGAAATTAATTTGATTTTTTTTTTTACATAAGAAATATTTTGAATAACTAAATTATTATATTCGCTACTTTGACACTTTATTCAATAAAAATTCAAACCCGAGAAAAAAATACTGCGCGAGTTTGCAAAAATGTTCTATTACAAAACTACCGTTAGCCGAACGTGAAATTTTAATGTTGGTCGCAGTTTTCTTAAGTAATCTTTGTTGTTAAATTTTGATACTTAAACTTGCATAACTTTTTATAGAATCATTCTTTTTCTATGAAATTTTCGCCATTTTAATATTAATTTAAAGCTCTTTCCAATGATATATAATAGTCTTATATATAAACGGTTTAAAATTTTTATGTACGTACCTATTCAATGTCTTTACTCGACAACATTGTGTAGGTACGTTACAAAAACAAATCGCCGTCCGCGATATTTTGGCTCCTTGTTTGTGTGACAAACTTCGCATGCGTTTTAAAAGTATACTAGTTCTTCATCATTTTTACTCGCTTCAGTTGGCTTAAATGTCATATTTTGCTTATTCCTTTATTTAAGAAAGAATTACACTTTTATTTAGTGCTACAGTTTAATTTTATTCTCCACCTCATTCTTATTTGTGCTGGTTTGAAATTTAAGGTAAACTATTATGTTTAAATTTAACAAAAATATGAGCGTGGACCTTCATTAAACTACTGTGGCCATTTACAACAATCAATTATCTATGCTCTTAAAATACTTAAAAGTTTGTAGGATATTCCCCTGATATCTAATTTTTTTCCCCTGGATTAGAGCTTTTTATGTTTTTGACAGCCATTATTAAATTTGCTATTAAAGTTTTTATTGCAAATTTTTTTTAGTAACCAAATTAGTGTTAAAGATATGTTATATTTTTATTTTTATTCCAAATCATAGTCATAATTACTTATTAAAAGAATGTCTGTACCAAATCATCCTATCAAGAAATATGGTATAGGCCTGCAGTACATTAATGATAATTTTTCAGCAAACCTTCCATTGCCTTCCGGAATTCCGGTATTAAAGGGTCATGTTATGTTCACTTATTATTCCAATGGGTCCAGTTTAATTAAAACATTTAAAGCACTGAAGAAAAATACCAACTTCGTTTACAAACACAGAGTTAGAAAAGTAATTAACAACTTTAAGGAATTCAAAAATATATCAACTGTTAAAAGATTTCAGCGCTATAAATCTCTTTGTCATGAGCCTTTTGAAATTAAACCAGATATCAAGCAGTCTAATAAAATAAACTATTCCCTTGTTCCTGTAAATGTTGAACCTTCTACCACTAATTGTGCATCGTGTGTATCTCTTAGATTAAGGTTGCATAAAGCCATCAGTGATAGAGTTTTTATGAACAAAAAAAATGCTGAACGTATAAACAGTCTAAAAAGTCTGTTACAAAAACAAAAACATATGCGAGTTCTAAACCAAAAGCTGAAGCGAAAAGAGGTGCAGATACTTAAGCTTAAAAAACATATGTATGATCCAGAATACAGGTTGAGAAAAATCATTAAAATGTTAAGAAAAAAATGCAATTATTTAATAAATAAAGCAAAAAAAGCAAAACATTTTCAAATAGAAATCAATTCTGAGCTTCAAAATGTTAAACAATTGCATCAACAACTTCAAGAAAAAGAAAAATGTATAACTACATTGCAAATAAATAATTCAATCCTTGAAGAAAATTTATGTGAAAAAAAAACTTTTCCCCAATGTTCAAAAATAGATCATAAATCATACACATTCAAATTAAGGTTGTTTGTTTATGATGCAATTGTTAATCAAGTGCCAACAAAAAATATTCCAATAATATTGGAGAATTTTTCTCAAAGATTTGGTTTTAAGTTTGAATCAGTACCTTGTCGCAGTACAGTTGAATTTATGGTAAGGGAGTTAGGAATAATAACTGACTATCAAGTATCAGAAAAATTATTGTCTAATAAAAATGTTACACTTGGCTTTGATTCCACCACACAAGAGGGTATCCATATTAATTCTATACATTTTACTACACAATGCGAGTGTTTTGTTATGGCTGTTGACCAGTTAGCAGATGGTACTGCTGTTGATTACCATCAACATATAATTAATACGGTAGATCATCTTGCTCTTGTTTCATCAGAGTTTAACAGTACAAACTATCAAGAAACTCGTAAAGCAATGATAAGTAATATTGTTAATACAATGACTGATAGAGTAAAAGTAAATCATGCAACTATTGAATTGTTGAATGAATCGTGGGATAAATCATTGAATGAGCTTAATTGTCATCTACATCCTTTAGAAACCATATCCACTATGTGTTGTTTAACATTAAAAAAATTAGAAAATGTTTCTGGAAAACTTTTTGGAAATAAATGCCTTGCAAGTAAAATTATTTTACAAATGAACAAGATGAGGTTTGTTAATGGAAAAGGTGATCCCAAAGGCTTTTCTTTATTCTTAGAATCTGAAGGTTTTCCACGTGGTTTGATTTCAAGATACCGTGGAAATCGTCTGCATATCTTATTTCACTTGGCGGGAGTTTATTTTGCACATCATGAAACTTTTAAAAAATTTTTAGCTACTGGTACAGTTAAATGTGGTGGCTTACAAACAAGTTTACGGGAAGATTTCTCAACTGACATTGCCTTATCAGAACTTCAAGTTCTTGGAATTTTGGGTAAACTATTCACTGGTCCTTGGATGAAGAAATTTTATACCTCAGTAGAAAATCAAGTTCATCATCTATATGGAGTTAATATAGTTCAAGCTGTTATTAATGTTTTAAAAAAATATACTATGGTCCCATTAGATTTGTTAACTTGTGCAAATGACTTTTTTGGAGAAAAATTACCAAATAATAGCCTGCTTCTTTCATTAAGAAAAAAACCATTGAATGAAGAAATGTTCTGTAGGCAAATGTCTGCATGTCTAACTTGCTGTGTGGATGTTCTTCACAGACAATATAAACGTTATTTCAAAATAGAAATAACAAAAGGTCTTTTGATTGAAACAAGATCTGCTAGAGTAAATAACATCGATGCAGAGGAGGTTATGGGCATGTTTAGTGCTGCTAAAAAACGTTCCCCTAATGCTACTTTGTGCTATTTGTCATCTCGAATACGAACACAAAAAAACAACGTTCTTGCTTTTATTGATTCATGCAATGAAACAAAACAGGAACAAATTATAAATTTTGCAATTTCATATGGAAGAAAAAAAAGGCAGCAAAATTGTAGTCAGTACTTAGAATTGCGAAAAGAGATGATAAAAAGAGCAAACCATAACATAAGTAAAAAACAAATTTCAGATAGAAAAAAATTAGAGAAAAAAGTGAAAAATCTAACTAAGCAAAATCTAAGTGTAGAATTTCCTGAGCTTGATCCATTGACCAAACAAGATATTCTAGATATTTTAGAAGGTAAAGTAATTGGTCGAAAGATTTTACACACTTGGAGTGATGGTGATACTTGTCAGGAAACTATTTACAATGGAAAAATTGAAAGAATGAAAAGTAAAAATAGCCCTTTGTATGTCATTGCTTACTGGACTTGCGAAGCTGATTATAATCTGGCAGAAGATTTTGACATTTCGAAATTTGCTTTAGCTGTAGATTTCCTTAGCAAAGATTTGGTATTTGCTAACTAATTGATTGCTAAATAAAATTATTTTTTAAATAACATTCTTTTTTTTCTTTCGTTGCTTAATAC